TTACAGAGCTCTTCTTACAGGGGCTACTGTAAGCTCTTGGGGGATTGGCTACATTAGGGGTGTGTCGTCTAATATGCAAAGGAGTTCCTGCTACAAAAAGAGCCCTGGTTGCATTTATTGGTTGCATTTATATCCCGCCCTTCCCTCAAGCGGGCTCAGGGTGGGTAACATCAGAGTTATAAACCTTAAAATCATTGTCAGAGCAAACACTTAAAAACATTCAACTTAAAAGCACATTTAAAATGAGTCAACTAAAGATGGCAATATATCTATAAATCTAACAGCGAAGGCGCCCCCTGTGTGCGGATATCTAAATCCGCACATCAGGGGCACCTGGGGGGCAGGGAGATTTTCCTGCACACTTGGGGCAGTCCGGTGTTCGGGGATGGAGGGAGGCTTACCTGCTGCTTCTGCTTCCTCCTCTTCCACCCTCGCGAGTATCGCGGGTCCCCTTTCTTGTATTCTATATATCTGTTTAGACAATCTATATATCTGTTTAGACAATTGCCATCTTTAACATTTAATTATTCCCAGCTCTTGTCATAGTTGCTGTTTACTGCTGTGAGATCTCTTGGTTTTTCCTTATGTCCCTAGAAGGGAAGAAGCTGAAGACTTAATTAAAAAAAAAAAAAGGAAGCTGGGAAATCAGACCACCTGCTCAGTCTATCATGACAACTGTATATCAATATAGTGCTGTTTTTCTTAATGTAGCTATGATATCAATATAAGCATGCACAAAACAATAAAAAGGGGGGGTGCTATGATATCACCAATGACAACAGCACCCTCCCTTGAAAATACTGATTATTTAAGTCATGTGCGGAAGAGTGGCCAGGGCTCTTTTTGTAGCAGGAACTCCTTTGCATATTGGGCAACACACCCCTAATATAGCCAATCTTTCAAGAGCTTACAGAGCTCTTCTTACAGGGGCTACTGTCAGCTATTGGAGGATTGGCCACATTAGGGGTGTGTCGCCTAATATGCAAAGGAGTTCGTGCTACAAAAAGAGCCCAACTGTAAAAATGCAGAGAGAGGGCAGACAGGTGGAAGAACTGTGCCTAAATTGATTCCGATGCTTATGGACCGACTGCCAAGAAAATCAGGAGTAAGTCAAGCATGCGGGAAAGCCCCCTCTCAGCCTAGCCTACCTCACAGGATTGTAATGAGGATAAACTGAGCACAGAACAATGTACACCACCCTGACCTCTCTGGAGTAAATGCATGTTAAGGATAATTTTTTTAAAAAGTCATACAAGTACTGGGCCCATCTATAGCTGTTCCTTTACTTCCTCCTTCCAGCCTTGAAACACTGGTGACTAAAGCCCTGTTCACACGTTACAGTGAATGTACAGACATCCTGCTGTTACACGTGTACACCTCTTTGTAAGAAAGAGCCAACGCACATTCACTTTGCAAGAGAAACCGGGGACCAGTACCTGGATAAACTGTGTGGTTTCAGTCACTCGTTCTGCTGTACCTGCATGGACTGTCATGTGAAAATCACTCCGTGTACATACAAAGAACAACCAAGTGTACACTGGTACACAGACTGAATGTGTATTCATGGTAACCTGCCAACAGGGCTTCGGCGTACACTCGCTGAGGCCAATATATACACTTTACCTTGTGCGCCAACTAAAAATTATCTCCAGTCTTGTGGATACAAGGACTGACATGCTTTTCCACTGGTCTCGGCCTTTTCAGGGATCTGTGTGTCCCGCTTCGTGACACAGAGACATTTGATCAACTGGTCCTCACAAGAGGCCTGGCATGGCTTTTGTTTGCGGACAGGGTTCACTCACGTTACTCATCAGCCCCTTGAAGACCACCAGTTCCGCCTTGAGCTGCTCCACCTTCATGGCCAGCTCCTCCTGACAAGCTTCGGCCTCTTGAGCCTCCTGTCAGAGAGAGAGAGAGAGAGAGAGACTCCCCAGTCAGAACTCCCAAGCGTGGGGAAACCGGACCAGGGGGCAAAGAAGCATCAGGAACGGGAGTCCCCTTACCTCATTAAGCTCGGTGACCTGGTCTTGCAGCTGAACGCGCAACGTGTACTCCTCTTCCCACCTGATGAGGTACAGCAGACAAACATGAATACACACGAGGCTGCCTTATAGTGAATCAGACCCTTGGTCCATCGAAGTCAGAACTGTCTACTTAGGCTGGCAGTGGCTCTCCAGGTTCTCAGTCAGAGGTCTTTCACATCACCTGAATCCTTTCAGTTCGGCGTTGTGGTTAAGTGCGCGGACTCTAACCTGGGAGAACCGGGTTTGGTTCCCCACTCCTCCACTTGCGCCTGGCTGGATGACCTCGGGCAAGCCGTAGTTCTGTCAGAAGTGTTCTTGAAAAAGAGCAGTTTCTGTCAGAGCTCTCTCAGCCTCACCTACCTCACAGGCAGTGTTCCCTCTAAGCTGAGTTAGTATGAGCTAGCTCACAGTGTTTTAGCCTCTGGCCCACACATTTTTGTCTGAGCTCAGGAAGGATGGCTCCAGAGCAAACTGATTTATGCAGCAGCCAAATTGCTCACTCACAACTTTAATGCCAGTCGCTCACAAAGTAGAATTTTTGCTCATGAGACTCCACAACTTAGAGGGAACATTTGCTCACAGGGTGTCTGTTGTGGGGAGGGGAAGGGAAAGGAGATTGTAGGCCACTCTGAGACTCCTTCGGGTAGTGAAGGGCGGGGTATAAATCCAATCTTTTCTTCATGTACAAGCAACTGGGATTTGTCCATGCCTCATACCTTGTATTTAGATTCCATTTAACATGTTTGATCTGCAGTGCAACAACGCTGACAACTATAGGTAAGCAGACTCCCTTGGGTAGTGACGGGCGGGGTATAAAACCAATCTCTTCTTCACTTCTTCTTCAACTGGAAAGGTGGGGGATTGAACCTGGGACCTTCTGCATGCCAAGCTCTGCCACTGAGCCACTCCTTGACCAGTGAAGATCACCAAACTGTTTCACATTCAGGGAGGAGGATCCTTTTCCCTCCTGTTGATTTCCATGCCTGGCACAGGAAACTTTCCTTGGGGCTCTGGAGTGCTCAAGGAATTGGCCATGGGGCAGACACCCCCTCTGGAATGTGTGGCTAGGACAGCTGGAGGGGGCTGTGCCCTTCGTACCTCTCTGGTCTCGTGCTGAATGGGCCGGCTACTCGCAGCAGTTTGTTGGGAGCAGACCCAGGAAAGCCACCGCAAGCTATGTTTAGTAAACCCACCGCAAGCCCCAGCACCAGAATAAGCCACACTGACAGATGACCCCCCTCCCACCTGCCACCTCTCCTTTGCTATGTTGGGTAGGCCTCATCCATTTCTGGATTGCCGGAGTTAGCACTCCTTATTCCTTCCTCCACATCTATACCTGGCACTCAGCTGTCCCGGGACTACGGAGTAGCATTTGACTCCGGGGAGATAACTAGGTCAGTGCGGATATCTGGTCTCTGTTAGGTTCAGCCAGGACAGGCAAGTGAGCTGAGGGCGGCTTACAACCAGTGTTCCCTCTAAGCTGAGTCCGTGCGAGCTAGCGCACAGTTTTTTAGCCTCCGGCACACAGAATTTTGTCTCAGCTCGGGAAGGAGGGCTCCAGAGCAATCTAATTTATGCAGTAACCAAATCGCTCGCTCACAACTTTAATGCCAGCAGCTCACAAAGTAGAATTTTTGCTCACAAGACTCCACAGCTTAGAGGGAACGTTGCTTACAACATATCAGCCTGGTGGCACTCTCTGCCAAGTGACGTCTGTGCTTGTCTGAGCTATTACAGTTTCGCAGGGCATGTAAGGCGGAGATGTGCCGCCAGGCCTTTGGTTGAGGCCAGCAACGGTTCCTTACATCTGCCTGGCTCCCCCCCCCCCCCTGAATGCTAGCACCACCATCTTGTTTCTAAAAGGTTTAAATGTTCTGAATGTTTTATCTGAATCATTAGCATTCAAATGGCTCCACTGCCCCCTAATGCCACGCAACACATCAGAGTGGAACGGCCCAGACACAGAAGACTTGTTGTGTCTCTGGAAGCAACACTGCAAAAGAAGACGAAGAAGAGATTGGATTTATACCCCGCCCTTCACTCAGAGCGGCTTACAAACTCCTTTCCCCTCCCCTCCCCACAACAGACCCCCAGTGAGGTAGGTGGAGCTGAGAGAGCTCTGACAGAAACTGCTCTTTTTCAATAACAGCTCTTATCAGAACTATGGCTTGCCCAAGATAATCCAGCCAGGTGCGAGAGGAGGAGTGGGGAATCAAACCCGGTTCTCCCAGATTAGAGTCCGCGCACTTAACCACTACACCAAACTGGCTCCCATCCAAGACGAAGACGAAGGTACCAGTGCAAGATGAAGGTACCAGTGAGCCAGTTTTGTGTAGTAGTTAAGAGCACGGACTCTATTCTGGGAGAACCGGGTTTGATTCCCCACTCCTCCACTTGGACCTGCTGGATGACCTTGGGTCCCCACAAGTTCTCTCACAGCTGTTCTCTCAAGGACAGTTCTGGAAAGAGCTCTCTCAGCCTCAGCAACTCACAGGGTGTCTGTTGTGGGGAGGGGAAGGGAAAGGAGTTTGTAAGCCGCTCTGAGTGAAGGGCGGGGTATAAATCCAATCACTTCTCTTCTTGTCTTCCTCTTCTAATTTGAACCTACACTTTAAGGTTAAACTGTAGTGTTGGGCTCTCCCTAACCAAGGAAATTCAAAACCAGAGTCCCCCTTTCCCCTTCCGTCACTAGGAATTCATGACACCCGTTGCAGAAATTGGCAGTGAATGCAGATTCCACCATCTGGAGAATCTCATGGCGAATGCAGGTAGAGGTGTGTGTGTGTGTGTGTAAAGCATGGAGTGAGCAGTCTAATTTAAAACACCCATAGAGAATTTAGGATGGAGGAAACAGCAGCAGAATAAAACTGTGCAAGCAAGCACCTGTATGCCACTAACATCAGTTCTTCTCGGTACCTATGCTAGGTTCCTTTAATTCATACAATAAGGAACGGAAAACGCAGTTTGCTTTAGAAATCCACACTGGGGGGGGGACAAAAAATGAAAGGGAGGAAGAAGGGCGGGGGTAAGTGTCCACAAGCCACATGACAATCCCATAGGGTTTTCAAGGCATTGTAAACAGCCCTGAGTCCTGCGTAAGTGGGGAAGGGCAGTTAAGAAATCTAATGAAATAATTTTTTAAAAAAAAATTTAAGAGAGAGGAATGGAGGTGGGGTAGTGACCCTGAGCTTCCTTGGTGGTCTCCCATCCAAGCAATAACCAAGACCAACCCTGCTTAGCTTCCAAGATCTGACTAGAATGAGCAAGCCTGGGCCATCCAACTCAGGGCAGTCCTGTCTTTTACTGCATAAAATAAATGCCAGTTTAAAACAGTCTCTCCCCCCCACCCCGCGCACAGCTGCACTGCCATTTTGCCTTGCCTAAAATAAGTGGAATTTTTTCCCTCTAGCGAAGCCCATGCCAAGCAGCCAGTATGCCAAAGGACTCGGCCTGCTCCTCTCGCTCACCCACACTGCAGGACAAGAACTGGCTATTACTCATCGCTTCTTGGGAGAGAGGAAGCCAGAAAGCTAGGCAGAAAAGCAAGAAAGAATGACTTGGGGAAGAAGGCCAGGTAGGAAGTCAAACTGAAAGCTCAAATATTTCCCTGCAAAATAAGTCTAACATTGCCTCCTAGGGGGAGTGGGGGAAAAAAATCAGTGGTTTGAAATTGTAGCAAGCTTCCTTCAAAATAGCACGGTTTAATAAAATGAAATCTGAACTCATTATAAGCATGTTCGCAAGTCAAATTTTTGGTATCAATTTTTAAAGCTGACTCCATGGCCAACTATCAAAACATACACTGAATTAATTAACGCTAGTCCACAGTCTTCTAATGTCATATTTATAATGCAAGATGAAAAAGAAGAGGAGGAGGAGACTGGATTTATTCCCAGCCTTCACTACCCAAAGAAGTCTCACAGTGGCTTACAATCCCTTCCCCTCCCTACAACAGACACCCTGTGAGAAGAAGAAGAGGAGGAGGAGGAGATTGGATTTATACTCCGCCCTTCACTACCCAAAGGTGTCTCGGAGTGGCTTACAAACTCCTTTCCCTTCCCCTCCCCACAACAGACACCCTGTGAGGTAGGTGGGGCTGAGAGAACTCGAGAACTGCCCTTGAGTGAACAGCTCTGAAAGAACTTGTGACTGACCCAAGGTCACACCAGCAGCTGCATGTGGAGGAGTGGGAAATCAAACCCGGTTCTCCCAGATTAGAGTCCGTGCTCTTAACTACTATACCAAACTGGCTCTCTAAGTACCTGAATGTTACAACTTGCTTTATGACTCTGCTCTCCACCTTATGGGAAGCCCTATTTTGACCTATGAAGCCCTTGCCACGGAAAGATTCTGGGCATCTGTTCTGCCAGGAAGCGTAGTCATGTTGTAGAAGGAAAATAAATGCAGTGTTATGTATTCACACATGCACATGAATGTATGCACAACTAACTTCTTATTTTGCAACCAAAGGCAGCTCAACACGAACCCTATACAAACAGTGGTTAAAATAAGTATCAGGCAACATTACCTAAAATAGAAAGCTTATTGTTAAACACTTGAGAAGCTGTACAACATGTGCCTCCCGTCCCGAGTCACAAAAAACTTTATTAAACTGTGAATCAACATTTTTCTGCTATTAAATCAAGCAACTAGCAGCAGGTACCTTCAAGCTCGTTGAGTTTAACCAGATGGGTCGGGGGAGAGAGGGAAGACTGATGTCCCCTCTGCAAACCCCCCCTTCCACTCTCCCATCCCAATGCCCCATACAGGACCAAGCCTATTTCCCTAAATTTGCCCCGTTTCCCCAAAGCGAACCTCCCCTCCAGGCTGTGAGAAGGAGATAAGCAAGATTACCTCAGGAAGGGAAGATAGGCCTTGTTCCTGCCCATTAGTGGTGGATAACCTCAGTCCCTCAAACAAGGGATAAGGGGATGCCACGGGGTACTGCGGACTCCCAAGTATGACCCTCTCCTTTCCCCTGTGGGAATGCGCTTATGCAGCAAAAAGCAGCAGAAGGCACTCCAGGACCAGGGCCGGCTC